ACAATTTCATCTTTACACTGTAGAACCTTCAACTTTGATTATTTCTGGCCATGCTAGACAAAACGAATGATAGGCTGCAAAATTTAACTAAGCTTTTAATTCATTAAAGTATTAATGTATTACACAATTTTCGTTTAGTAAAGAACGAGTTAGAATATTAAAGTTGCAGCACATTCCAAATGCTAAAAATAAAACACCAGACTTGAGTTGCTTTATTAAGATCCTGGTTTAAACTCTAAGCAGACCCCCAGATATTACATCATGGGTATGCTACAGTCATAAGGAAAAGCTTTAACTAAAATAATTTTAAAGAAAGTGAAAATTGTTGCACCTAACTGGAAAATTCATGAAATTACTGATTTTTAGGCTAATTAGAAACCGTGAGGAGCGCATATTAAATCGTTCTGTTCTAGATAAAGTCAAGAAACCCAGTAACACTAATCTATATGAAGGTTAAGACGAAGAATTTCTGTTACAACCACACTTCAATGATCATAAAATGATGGGACTAAACCAGCTGTATATTAGTCGGCACTTCTCTAATTACGTACAAGAATTATGAAATTGGATACTTTTTCCATTTGGATATAGTTTCAAATTCTGTTATAAACTGCAGTACCAAGCTAGAAGTCAGAGAGAAGAAGAAGGTATCAGAAATAGCCTCAACTGGAAACATAAGGGCAGTGAGCCTGGCGGTTGCAAGGAATTGCGTCACAGCTGACGCGCTCAATTGAACACGTCATTTCTTGAAGTGCGGTCCTGATATGCTGACTGACTAGTCAAGATGGCTGGTTTTCACGTGGAGAATTGAAGCCGGCGCTGCTGAGTGACTGCATATTATCTCACATCATTTTACTACATCAAGTGATCGTGTCACAGACCTATTTACGTAACTTGCCTTCCGTAGATGCTTGTAAATTTCGAGGACCAAGGGTTGCTAGTCTGTTTATGTGAGAGCATCGGAAATGTGTTTGGAATTATGCCAGGGATGAAGAAATTAAGCTTCATGTGTCCCCATTAACGTTAAAGGCATGTTAAAAGAAAATGTTCTTTAGAGCGTAATTCTGATTCTTGGCACTAGGGTTGCGGGATTAACGTACCGTGCGCCTAAAAGATTAATTTTATTTGAATTATTAATTGTGAGTCTGACCGGGTTGAAGGGATTAATTCATGTGAGGAAAAGAATGACAGTCTGTTTGCACATTATTGCTAATTATAGGTGCTGTGTTTTGTTTGGCAGTACGTAGTTTTGCCGGACGGCTGGTAGTAACAATTTATGACTGATATACCAAGTTTAAAGAAACGCGGTATTTTGAATTACCGAAAGCGTTGTGTACAATATGACCCGATCAAAAACTCACACTGGTCTTACTTGAATGCTACAGGCATGTGCACACATAACGTGAGAATAGGCGGCCAGCCAATTTTAGCTGCGCTGGTGAAAGGAGAATTCGACGTCGTTCGTCTTCGTGCAGGGCATGTCCAGAAAAGCCGCGGACACAGAAATCCCTTGCTAACCGCTAGGCTACTTGATATTCGCGTTCTACCATAAAACTCGTAACTTCGTTTGCCGTATTTTTGTGTTAAAATAAACGGTGTAGCAATGAACCCTTGTATTAGGGCAGCCTTATGTATAAGTATCTCCATGGAATGGAATCTTAAGAAGCTGATAGTCGCTCATCTGGTTAAGGACTTCCCCATCTTTTATGGAACCCGAAGGTTCATAAGTATTTAGCAACTAAATTTTACTTTGGACCACTCTATTTAAGGAATTTTCTTCAAGTTTTCCTACTTTTTCCTTGCTGTACATTTCTTTTTACCCTATGTGTTGAGAAAGACAAAAGGCATATAAAGAAATGACTTCTCTGTGGTGTACGTGGGATCTTAAGAAAATGCCATATTGATGAATTCTCACAGCATTTTTTTTAATTCAATCCATCAACCAAGTTTTCGAGAATTTGGAATTACTGGGTAATGAAAACTATATATTACGAACCAGGTTAATTTCAACAGAACAAAAGTTTAAAAGGGACTTCAGTTTCATATAGTTCAGTTTAATTTATTCCCCAAATATTCTTGTAGAACAATTTTCTATAATTATCTCAAATATAAAACAGGGAAACTGTATTAGTGAGAATGTAATTTTGTCTAACAACCACCCTACTTTCATTTATCACCATCAACAACAGCAGTGTCATAAGTACTATTATTAGGACCATCTCTTTACACCATCAGCTGTGGCATGACCTTCGCACAGATCCGTGAATATCATTTCGGAGGACAGATAAAGGTGTCCGCATACAACGACAGAAATTTCGTTTAATGGATACGTAAATATGTCCTGTTTGGGTCCTTGTTCTGATAGAGCTTATAGCAGTGTGATTGAAGTTTCTCACGGCGGCGAGTACGATGATGGCTGTCTTATGGGTTGTTGCGCGGTATGGACTGGTTCTTGCTACCTCCATCATCAGGGCGATTAGACTCATAACCCTGATGATAAAGGCAGCAAGCACATCTGAAACGTCAGGAAACTTCTGCCAGACTGCACTGCTCAAGAACCCAGAAGGCATATAATGGTTGCCTTTCTTCCGCACATTCCCCACCACTCCACCACTATTCAAAACCACCCAACCTCTGTAGCAGAAAAAATCAAGCAAGGAAAAGTGTGATAAAGGACACAGAATCTAATGCATTTCGCCTTGTGAGTGATATGATCAAAACATGAAGCATGAGATGTTCGAAAATTGCCTCGTCATTGTATGGAAATGAAAGAAAATCACGTTTACAAATTTGGCTTTTACACCTCGGTTGTTTCTGACCCATACAGGACGTTATTTACCGGACATATTGCGTGTAGGAAGCCATTTTATTACAGCCGGCAAAAGCGTCGACGACGAAAGATAAACAGTAATGGCGTCGAGCTGGCTTTATGCCACCATCTCAGCAACGGTCTACATAAAATGAAGGTTAATGTGGGGTTCCACCTTCTAATCGCTAATCATGAACTAAAATTATTCAGATTGTTATAGGTAAAGCTGTACGATGCTATGAAGACGCGTGGGTGGAAGGGGGGGGGGTGAAGTTATAGTTCCACGCAGTTTTAACCACTTCACGGTTCAGCCCTTTTTATTCCGGGAAAAGATCCCTAGTACCCATCTAATAAAACGCTATTTTATTGTAGACGAAAGTTCAAAATCGAATATCCTTCCTGTTTAGCTGCGTATTACATCACACAAGCAGCTGTGCACTCGTGCGTCCTGACGACTTATCAGGTTAAAGTAATCACAGGAGAGTGTGTTCGACAGAGTGAGTTTATTTTCTCCCTTATCCCTGCCTTGTAATCATTTTAAAGTTAATGATTATTTCTACAAAAGACATCGGTAGAAACAAATGCCTTTAGTATAACATATTTGGATATATCACACACTCACTCACTCTATAGAGCAGTAAATTGTTTGAAAAGTCGATTGGGCACTCGGATTGTCAAACTAAAGCCCACATTAACATATCTGGATATCAATGTAAAAAACTTAATTTGGGTTGATGATGTTCTTCTGGGTTTGGGTGTCGTGTAGACAAGTCAGTAAATGCCAGTATTTTGAAGAAACACACTGTCTCCATTATCAGGGCTGAAGTGACGATGCTGTATAAATTACCCACTTCCCAGAATCACCACTTAGACCTTGAATTTGGAGACAGTCTATTTCTCTGAAATGTTGACATTTACCAATGCGTCTGTATGGTGCCAAAACGCAGATCATCATTCTCCCTGCTGTAAAAGAACCTCAGATGCCACTTAATTATGATGTTAGCATTGCTGTTTACTGCTTAATAGAACCTTGACTTGAATCTTCATTAGGTAGAACTACCTGAATGAGTCTTCATGATTTCCCATCAAACAATGTTGAAATAGTACATGAAATGTGTAATTTGAATGCAAAATATTGAGTTGTTAGTGTCAGTTGTCTTGTAAGAACTTTTCAAACCTTTGAAAACCTAAATAGTCACCAAGAGAAGATGCTGTTTTCTTAAGTTACTTACCAGCCTTTGTAGAGTTTTAATTAGTATATGTTAAAGAATGCTTTGCCCTTAGTTACATAAGGAAATCTCAGAGAAGAGCAGTCTAAAGATGGTACAAAACACCTGAAACGTCGATACAACTGGTTTGAGGGTCTGCAATGAACCTCTACAGAAGACTGTTTTGATCGAAGATTTCTGTCTTCTGGGTCGTTCGCTGTGTAGTCTGGTAGATGTTTACCAACGTTTCAGAAGTCATACTGCCTCCATCATCAGGGCGATGACAGAGGCAGTATGACTTCTGAAACGTTGGTAAACATCTACCAGACTACACAGCGAACGACCCAGAAGACAGAAATCTTCATACTCACTGCTGTGAAAACCTCAAATATTACGACTGTTTTGATTGTTTCATCAGTGAGTTGTAATGTGTTGAACAGGTCTTACTCTCATCCTCTACAGACGCTAGACTTCAGACATGAAACATTTAACAAGGAATTGGGACTGTGTCCAAAATTCTGAGATGGTTGGCAGTATAGCATTGTGAAAGAAACAAAAAGTGTCTGTTACTGAATGTAATAAAAAAGGAGATACTCTGTCTCTACAATTGAACATTGATTTGTCATGCTGTTTATCTGTTCAAGAGTTTGTCAGAAATTATTATTTTCATATTTCTGGTATTTTGTAATAAAAAGCTTCAGTGTCAGAATGCTTATATCTGCGTAATGTAATTTTAATTGCGCCCTCTTAAGCTTATTATAACAACTGTAACCAATATTTGTTGTTAGCAAAAAATGATTCTGATAATCTCTATAAATATCCAAACATTCTTCACAAGTTTTACTTCATTGTACCTATAAACATCTCAAATTAAACTATGATCACAGATTAAAACAATTATTACATATTATTTAAGTTTAAGAAATAATTGAATAGACATCATAAATATTTGAATATAACAGGCAATCTCTGCTTTGTTACAGAGGTAAGTTTGGAACAGTGTATCAGTGTCAAGAGATGAGCACTGGTCTTCAACTAGCAGCCAAATTTGTAGCCACACCAAAACGTGAAGATCGCCGCAATGTTGAGCGTGAAATTGAAATTATGCGCCTACTGCAGCATCCACGTCTCATCCAACTGTATGATGCCTTTGACAATGGGAAGGTTATGTGTGTTGTACTAGAGTTGTGAGTATGACAACTGTTGTTATGATATAATAGCATAAAAAATAACCTTTCTAATTCTACCTTTTCACTACATATTTCTCAAATTGTCCTTGTCACAGAAATCTTTCAACATTTTTCAGCCTTTGTAGACAGTATCAGAGTGACTTATTTTTGTATTATTACTTTGGTTCTTAAAGTTTATCAGTTGGAAACAGGTGGGAGGGGTTAACTGCTTTTGTAACATATGTAACAGAATTCTGTTTAACCAAGACATCATTTTGAAAACTTTAATTATATATATTCATATACTGGATGAGTAGTGTATTAAAAGAAAGAGTTTTGCTTTGAGACAAAAATATACAACCAACCATTTCCAACAGAAAGTGGATCTCAGATGATGCTCACATAAGTAAGGCATTAGTAAAATAAGGGAGTTCAAGGGAAAACAACAGTAATAAGATGGTGGAGGTACAACTTTGTATTTACTCAAAGAAGAAACCCAGTTTTATTTTTTCTTGCCATTACCTTTATTAGTTCAGTTACTTATCACATAATTATCAAGTACCTTGTAAATCACACAAAAACAGACAAATCCTGACATTTATTTTTAAAATTAGAAGGTTGAAAATGTAGTTTCTGAACAAAATAATTTATTACATTATGTTTGTCATTGCCATGGCAGTTGTGACATCCTTATCTCTCAGCTGTAGTAGTATGGAAATGATGTATTTGTGTTTCAGAATTGAAGGTGGTGAACTTTTTGAGAGGGTGATTGATGATGACTTCATTCTAACAGAGAAATCCTGCACAGTTTTCATGAGACAAATATGTGAAGGTATTGAGTTCATTCACAAACAGAATATTCTACACCTTGATATGAAGGTATGTTTTAGCATTCAAAAATGGCATTAAAATTGTTACACTATAGCAATAATATTAGACTGCATAAGGTTAGATCAGCTTCTCTTAAATTCTGTGGATCCCAAATCAGGATGTACACAGTCAACCTACTGGCAACAGTATATTTTATGGAAGGTATTTAAAAATTGTCAGTTACTCTTCACAGATTATTTAGAAGCACAGGTTTCTGAAGAAATTTTTTTACAACTCTTTATAAAAATGAAAACTGGAATTTATCGCCAGATTTTTATTAACTTCTTAGTTTAAAACATCTATTCTCTGCTAAAATTTCTGATGTAATTGACTTCATACATAATAATATAGAAACTTCCAGTAACTTATACTGAACATATCCTTCACTTTTATTTGCAATTGTTGCTAATATATAAATATATTTTTATGTGTAGATAAAATATAATTATTTATTTTTTAGCCTGAGAACATATTGTGCCTTACAAGAACAGGAAACCGAATTAAAATAATAGATTTTGGCTTAGCAAGAAAGTATGATCCTCAAAAAAAGTTACAAGTATTATTTGGAACACCTGAATTTGTGGCACCTGAGATTGTTAATTTTGAACAAATATCATTTGGAACAGACATGTGGTCAGTTGGAGTTATCTGTTACGTGTTGTAAGTACAAATTTTGGTAAATAAAAATTAATTAGTAACTGTGTACACTATACACATACAACTTGTCTGACCTCTTCAATTTTCACACTTTATGTTTTATTTTACACTAAAATTAATGCAGCATTTTAACTTTACAGTAATAATTACTATAACATTCTGCTTGCTCCTTTACTGTTCACAACTACCATTGTGAAGAAAGCTAACAGAAAAGCTTATAATTTAGGTAGAAGTGTCCTCATACAAAAGCATGAAGGTATATCGGGCAGATATGACAGCATATAAAAAGGTGCCTTATTGTGGTTTGATTTTTGATTTTGGGTGTGAGTGTTCACATGTGCATGAGTATCAGGAAAATTGAAATATTCCTTCTGATATATAATATATAACTTGTCTAAGTATGATTCGTCCATTAGTCAATCTAACTGCATAATTTTATTCTCCTTCCTGGTGTGAGAATAGTCTACAATTTCATACATGCATGCTGATTTCCATAGTTGTAATTGTTCTGTAAGCAATTTATTTGTAATTGTTACATGTTCATGTTATTTGCAGGCTTTCTGGATTGTCACCATTCATGGGAGGAACAGATATTGAAACAATGGCAAATGTAACAATAGCCAAATATGATTTTGATGATGAAGTTTTCAATGAAATCTCACAGGATGCAAAGGACTTTATTCAGAAGTTACTTTTAAAGGACAAAGAGTATGTTCATTGCTTTGCTTATACTACATTAAATGACTACATAGTATTCTACTCTCTAAAAAAATTATGTATAAGCTGTGTAAACATAACCAAAAAGAGATGAAAAAACTCTTTTTCTCATGATTTTATTTAAAACAGAAAAAAAGCTCACAAATCTGTTTGTTCTGCTATGAAGTATATGTTTCATTCTCATTTGTTATTTTTAATGTTATGCATAATTATTTATTTATTTATTGATCTGAATATGTCATCATATATAATACTTTCCAAAGTTTATATTAGTCTGTACTGATCCCCAGTATTTCTTATAGGTATAGGCAGATAACAACATCATTCTAGATTTTGGACATATTTAATAAATATATTTTGGAAAAAGAAAACAATAAACTGTTCAAAAAATTAGATGTCTGTCCAACCATTCACCTATTACTCAGTATTAATAATGAACAGATTTTGAACTTTGATACTGAGAACATTTCTGAAATTTGGTAGATGCCTGAAATTATATTTCTGTATTATTTGATTAAACACGGCTGATACTATATGTGAGAATTAAGCAAATATTTGTGATGCAGGAAGCATGGTAGGCAAGTGATTTGTGCATGTGTAACTTCCCCACTGATGAGTGAAGAACACTTTGTTCCTTTCTGCTGCTCCGCTGTCCATAGCATCATTATTTTATTTTTTTGTTATTTCTGACTATTTTATAACTTTCAGTGTTATAAAGTATTATCAGTAAACCACATGTATCACAGGGATTTACTTAACTCCCACATAAAGTACTTTGTTTGAAACCCAAACATATTAATTAAATTTAATGAAATTTAAAGATAGTTTGTTAGACAAAATTTGTAGGACTTAACAAGTAGATTGTTACATGGTGTTCCTTTTCTGTGTGTAATGAATCATTATTTCAAATCTAATCAAATAAAATTACAATATGCAGAATATTTCTGAGATACTAGTACTTTATGGTTTAGTGTCCAAATTTTGTTTTGTTTGCACAGTATGTACATATACAGTGTTGTAAGATTTGAGGTTTTCACAGCGGTGAGTATGAAGATTTCCGTCTTCTGGGTTGTTGCGCTGTGTAGTCTGGTCGATGTTAACCAACGTTTCAGAGGTCATACTGCCTCCGTCATCAGGGCGATGAATATATTTTAGTTATCATACTGGTCAGATGTTGACATCGCCCTGATGACGGAGGCAGTATGACCTCTGAAACGTTGGTTAACATCGACCAGACTACACAGCGCAACAACCCAGAAGACGGAAATCTTCATATACAGTGTTTATTCAATTTAAAAATAAATATACAGTTGTAACTTAAAGGTCTGGTACAAATGTAAGGATGAACAGGTGAATTATATACACAAATCAATTGAAGAAGTTCCTATCAACATGGGTTTGCTAAAACTCATTTCTGAGTAACAGCCCTCCTTTCCTTCCTGAAATTTCCTATGTCATATCATACTTCTGCTGCTTCCTCTCCACCCTTGGAGCAGAAATTTCGTTGAAAGTGTTCATAATGCATATTTTGAAGTTACTGTTGCAGAAATGTTTGCTGATAGAGGTTTTTAGTCTCCATACTGTTACCATTTTCATGCCCATAAAGGAGATAGATGTATGTCCACCATTCTTTGGAATGAATAAACATCCATTTTCATAGGAGAAGCAACAAGAATGACACACTTTCATAAATTTTTGGAAGTTAAAGATCGCTGTAACTTCAAAACATTTCCAGACCCATATTCATACAAACTTTTTTCATTGTTTTGATGTGTAGAACATACCCTTACATTAGTTCCAGACCTCTAAGTTATATTCTGTATAATAGAGAATTACTCACCAGGTTAATATTTCATTCAGTATACCTGCATGAAATTTTTAGGAATGAATAACCAAAAACATCAAAGAATTCAGTACAATTAACTAACAGTGTCTTTCATATATAATGCTTCATGTCTGCATAACATTATGAGAAGAATGGACAGCATGGTAACAATTTCAACAGAAAATATGCCTTACTGTAAGTAGCATATATATACACATCAGATCAGATTAGTATGTATATGTTGAAGGTATGACAAAGGCCCATGTTTTTGTTTCTTTTGTAGTTCTAATTCTGCATGATTATTGTAGTAAAAGTGATAATACAATAAAGCATGTGTAATGCAAGTAGCCATAATCCTCTAAGGTCAAGTTTCCACTACCCACAATTTAACTATTTATATAAATGAGAAATCTTGAGCTTCTTGGAAAATACTTGTCATACTTACATAATACAATAAATCCTTACAATGTCTGAGGTTTTCATAGCACTAAGAGTTTATTTTATTCTGGGTTGTGACACTATGTAATATTATAGGTGGTGGAAATCCTTACTACTAGTTGGTCATTTCATAGAATGTTAATATTGCTGTCATTTGCAGTTGTTATGTAGAAGTGTATGAGATTAGAAATTATTATACATGATAAAACAGAAAGAATGGGATGAAGTGGTTGTGGCCTCTTTTAAGACACTAACCTTGTATTCATCTAGAGGGAGTGAGGGAAGGCACAATGAACATTACTCAGGACGGTCAGTGCCCTTGCCGAGATTCCTACTGGATACCTCTGAAATACAAGACAGACTGCTACCCACTACATACATTTATTTCATATTCAGCGTCCAAGGAATCTTCAGAATAATTTTAACTCATTTGTAGTTTCAAAATGCTGAAGAATTTGGTAAATCTCAGTAGTCTGAAAATGCTGGCAGCCTTTGGTTTTTATTCAAATTCCTTCCAAAGATGATGATTGTTTATATTTCCTTTCTTCTCTCATTATTCTGCCATTTTATTTTTAAGTACATTCCATGTAAAATAGCACTCCTCTATCTCACAGATATCACATAAGGACATACAGCAATAAGTCTCAGATCTATATACAGAATATAAAATTTATGGAATGTAGTATATGTATGAAGTGTTTATTTATTAGTGTCACAATTTATTATGCTTGCATGACATACTGTGTATTATTTTATAAAATTTAGCCTCTCATTTCTCCCCTCTCTTCTGCTGGAAGTGATTGGCTGCAGTGTGATTGATGGCATCAGTTTGTTCTTAACTCTGGGTCTTTGTCTGCCTTCCCTTCCAGGCGACGAATGTCTGCTACCCAGTGCCTGGCGCATACTTGGCTGAGGAGAAAACCAAAACCACCACCGCCTGTTGCAGAAGAGCTCGACATAGCTAAAGATAACTTACGCTTCTTTGTGGAGCGATGGAATGAGCATCCAAACAGCCCATATTTGTTTGATAAGTCTTGCCACACCATTTCTCCTTGTATTTTAATGTCACAAGAGATTGAAACAGTTCCATCCCAGAACTCTCTGGGTGGTCTGTCTCCTTCACCTTGCAGCTCCTTGTCTGTCTCAGTCTCCACCTCTCCTGATTCCATCTTGGAACATGAGCTCCTAGGGAAGTCTCCCGATGAGACAGACTATCTCCACCACTACACATTTGAAAATAAACAGCCTCCTCCTCCAAAATATCACCTGGAGCGGCTCCAGACATTTGAGCGTCGAGCATCAGACAGTTCATGTGTCTTGAGGAGAAATGGTGATACAGCTGCTAGGGTCAATCTTGCAGATGAAATACGCAAACTCTCAGACAAACTGTTCCAAATGGCATCCTTACATGGTCCCTCCTCAGATCTTGATAATAATAATGTTAGTAGCATTCGGGCTCCTGCTCCTGCAATCCCAAGCACACACCATGGCTCCATACAATCAACTGTCTTCAATGGAACACCTCACCCTATACCACCAGTTCCAAGCAGAAAAGACAGTATTCAGGATGAGGGATTAACAGGAGTAAAACGTCCAAAGTTCCGCTTCTCAAACCTGAACCGAGATGTTCCTCTTGGTGCACCAGCACCTCCTACCAATTTCACCTCCTTCATGGTTGCTAACACTACTAGTATATCACCATGCTCATCTTGGAACTCGTTAGACACCTTCCCATCCACTTCTAATAACAGCCAGTCTTCTGCCTCCCCTAGCCACTCAGCTCCAGTGTCACCCCAGCATTCCTCTGAAGCAGACCATTCTGAAACTCCTTGTGCTGACATCACTAAAGATCTCCTTCTTCACCTGCTTGACAAGTGGGATGATAAACAAACAGTAACATGCAGTCCAATAGAAACCTGTCGCAAGTCACTTTCCATGGATTGGTCAGAGGAAGAATCTTTGGGTCAGCGAACTATGACCTCATTAGCAACCTACTTTCAGTCATCTCGGACCATTAAGAAAAAGCATTCAGTTTTACCTTCACAATTTGGAGTCTAACTATAAGACAAAAGTATGGCAAACTTAGACTACCAGGACACACATAAAATTAGAGACTAACAGGTGAGTGATGTGTGTTTGCAATATCATCCGCAGAGAGCGGCTGAATGCGAGTCAGTGCCTGAGACACAAGTGGCTGAGTGAGATGGCTGTCAACACAACACTCAGCAAAGTAAAGCTGAAACGCTATGTCATCAAGAAGCGATGGATCAAAGCAGTCAATACAATCATCGCACTCCGAAGAATGGGAGCCAAACTTGACTTTGACTCTGTATAATCAAGAAGTGCATGTTTTTTATGATATTGAATTTCTCTGTGTGTATTAGAGTATTGGTGCCAGATAAGCAACTGTAAATGTTTCAAACATGTCACTATCGTACATACATGTACCTCTGCAGACAGTAACAATATGTCTTATTTGTGGTGAAGTGAATGAGTTCTACAGACTGTCTACTGCTATTATTCTGGAAAATTATTTTTATTGTGTGTTCAGTGGTTAACATTGAACAGATATAAAGTACTTCCACACATATATGCTGTCAGTTACAAAGAGTGAAACTGTTTCTCCAATATAAACATTTGCCTACACATTACATACATGTTGAATGCACATAATTTTTATTCTAAGGTTTATAAATCTGAATGAAATACTGTGCTCGTGTATATATTTTATTCCAAGCATAGAAAATGTTATGTTCTGTTTACATTACACAATATGAGAAACTGAGTTCCAGACCAAACGTTTTCCAAAATAAAGAAAGTATTACAATGAAGACTTACGTGAAATGATGCATTGTGATTTATTTTTTCCATTCAAACAACAATGACAAACTGTTGTCTTGTATTTGTTTTAATTCGTCTTTCAAGGACTTGGATATTGTGTCTTTTCAGAGCTTTGTGTACACACACACAAACACATTTTGTTTATCTATTTGTTAGTTTCTCCATTTTGTTGTGTGTCTTCCCAGCATCAAGACTTAATTTTGCCTTGTGTGATAATAGGTATGTACACAGAATTAATAAGTTTAACTGTACTCAAAGTCAAATATTGTTAATGGTAATGCCACCACTGCTATGGAATATGTTGTGTTGCTGAATAAGGGTATCATCATAAGTGTTTCAAGAGAGAATACAAATTTAAGATTTTGTGACCCATTCCCAAAAGTACAATTTCTTAGAAACACTTTTTGACTTTGCATAGTTTATGATGGAAATCATGTACTGTGATTCTCATAATTTTATGATACAGTTCATATCGTCCTTGTGTCCGTTCCCTGCATAACATTGTATCGACTGCATATAACACTTGCAATTTTAATCCTGAGGTTGTTTCTGTCGTACCAGAAATAAGTCATTCACTCTTTCAGTTCCAAGAAAAAACAACATCATGAATTTCAAAATTCCCACCAGCAGTTACTTTGTAAATGTGAAGTACACATATTAAAGGTTAGGTTCTTGAAATTTCGTCACATGGTCAACTTCGTTTGCATTTAATTATTGACGACGCAGGTCGGCTTACAAGGCGGTGGAGAAAGTTGAGGTTCGCATCGATCTGGGAACAAGGTTTTTCTTTGAAAAAAAATGGTAAGTTTAGCATTTTAATCTTATTTTGTCTATTTCGGAAGTATATTTTGGTCTTAGGCATGTAGATATCCAATATTTCAAGCAGTTATCCATGGACAGATGAAAGAATACACAAAGAGAAATCAGGTGTAACAAGATTAGATGTAGTAAATTTTCCGTTTAAGGGACATAATAAATACTTTATTATAACTGTATATGGTTATGGATTAAATATTAAATTCTGTTTAGTCGTTGTGGCCTGATTCAACGAACCATACCGTATTGACAAATTTCATAATACGTATTCACCTTCGCATTATCACGGGCACCATAATCGTGAACAAGATTCCCATATAGTATGAGTTGGTTCTTAGGAGAATAAATTTTGTACACATTTAAAACAGTATAAAACGCTATTTTAGAATATTTAAAGAGCATATCTTTTTCATATGTGCAAGACCAGTAGGCAGCAATTTATACGTCGTATTTTTTAGTACTTTTAGTGTAAAATAGGTTAATGTTGTCAATGCACAAAAAGCTGTGATAGACATCATCTAGAATTGTGAAATTCATCACAGACGATAGTAAGGAGAGTAATTATCATTCTTGACTGCATTCATGTGCAGTTCATTTTACACATTTTTATTCTTACAGTAATTTTTTTCATGCCGGCACAGCGATGTGCTGGTTACACAAAGAGTACTTCCACAGTACTCATTGTATCCATGTTACATTGACATTACAAAAATGTTTGTTTTCTTAAGAGACCAGTTTTCACCTTTATGGCATTTCACCGCACTGTTTAACTTAACATGACCATATCAGATCAAATAATCATGTTACTGAAATGTGCATCCCCGTTCACACCTTAAAATTGACTCACAGAAGAATTTGGTGCACATTTGCCTTATTGGTTCTTGTTCCATAAAGTTGTTGCTTTACTGATTTCTATGCTGGGCACATGGGAATGTTTGCCTGTTGGTCATCTCTAATAATGTTATTTGTACACATCTTGTCCAGTATCATGAGCCTCAAAGTTATAACAAATTCACAAAATTGTTAGTTTTATTTTTTGAGGCACTCCATATAATTCTTGTAATATATGTTACACTGAAAAGTTTCGTTAATATTTTCTAGGTATCCTTGAATCCAGTTAGAATCTTGAAGCATGAGGCTGAGGAGGATAAAGCAGAAACAGCTCGGCTGTCAAGTTTTGTTGGAGCTATAGCCATTGGGGATTTAGTGAAGAGTACTTTGGGTCCTAAAGGCATGGACAAGATCCTTGTATCTCATGGGCGGAATGAGGGCCAGGTGGTGATTACTAATGATGGAGCTACTATTTTGAAGGCAGTTGGTATAGATAATCCAGCATCAAAAATCCTTGTGGATATTTCACGTGTGCAGGATGATGAAGTTGGAGATGGAACAACCTCTGTTACTGTTCTTGGTAAATAAACATTTAAATTAATTTAATGTGATGATGTAATGATCTTGAAGAAAGTTGGTTTCAAGAACATTTTTAAGATCACATATACTTATCATTCTAACTTCTGTCTGTTTTCTTCCATTTATTTAATTTTAGAACAGTGCGGGGCAATTAACAGATTCCTCATCTAACATGAAATAGTTATATCTAAACTAAAAATCAGTGTGTACACATGTTTGAGGTAAAGAACCATTTGACACATTTTGATGGAATTTGGTATGGACATTATTCCATTAGAGGCTTTATGCAATGTGAAATGTCATGATTGTATTTCATCTAGTATCAAACAAGCAAGGCTAGGGCAGGCTGTATATGTTACTTGTTTATATGATGCAGACAATAAATTCAAGGAGAATTTTGTTAAACTTTAATTGGGAAGTCTTGGAAGAACAAGGAGGAGGTAGGAAGTAGGAACATAATATTAAAATTAATCTTGAGGAATTACAGCATTGAGAATGTGAACTTGGTTGAACTGGCTGTGAGGTTCATATCAGTTGACATGTTTTGGTGTTGGTAGTGTTGAACCTTTGGGTTCTGTTACCACAGAAGTAAGTCGGAAAGTTATTTTGCACTATAAAGTGCAGTTCACAAATAAGTGAGAAGATGCTAGAGGACAAGTCTTTATGAGTGATGTGTTTAATGGCTCATATGCAAGGAAACAGTTGCTAATGATACAAGAAATCTAAATAAATATCTGTTTGATTTCTTTAGCTGCAGAATTACTTCGAGAAGCAGAGAAGTTGATAGACCAGAAGATTCATCCACAAATCATTATAGCTGGTTGGAGAAAAGCAACACAGGTAGCACGTGATGCCTTAACTGCTACATCCATGGATAATAGGTGAGTAGTATGATAAGAACTATTGAGTTTCTGGACTTGTCTATCATTCATTATTTTGAACAGATCACAGAGCAGTTTACCAGGGGATTCCCTTTGAAATTACATAGGGAATTTTTGCTCATACATTTTCTGGGGTGCAGTGTGATGGTGGTGGAGTGGTGGTACATAATGAGGTGCTGTCTTGGGGTTTGGCTATATCATATACCTTTTTATAATGAAACTAGAACATTTCTGTTATGTTATTTTCTTGCTTTGGTATTTTACTGCTTGCAGTTGGCAGCTCTTAAAGGAAGCTAGTTATCTTTAACCCCTTCCAGAACACTGCTCTTAACATGTCTTGTTTCAGTGCTGACAGTGCACAGTTTCATGAAGACCTCATGAACATTGCTCGCACTACCTTGAGCTCCAAGATCTTATCACAGCATAAGGAGTACTTCTCTAAGTTAGCTGTGGATGCAGTGCTGCGACTCAAGGGATCGGGAAATCTTTCTGCTATCCAAATCATAAAAAAAACTGGAGGCACATTGGAAGATTCTTTCCTTGATGAAGGTATCAATAAGAAAAGTTTGGTTTTCCCCATTTATTGTTCCTGATTGGTAGTGTGTTTTGTTTTGTATCTACTGTTATATCTAGTGCAGCATGACATCCCATTTTTTTAACTATGTTAAATTTTTCTCTGCTATAGAATAAAACAGGTGATACTTAAGCAGCTTCACACAAGATAAAAAAGCAAATATATCACATAACCTACTGTAGACTATTTTGTGGTTTCATATTATAATTGGCTGCTGTGTTATCATTTGAGAAAGGTATCAAAGTTTATAAGATATAATAATGGATGACTAACAATGGTTCTAATTTGCTGGGTCACTCTGTATGATAATGGCCATAAAAATAGAACAACAAAAGTTTTTTTAGCTATATCAAAAATTAATATTGTTACATGTTAAGTACTGAACGCATTAAACTAAAAGTTTTACAACAGAACTGCAAATTTACCCTTATCTTAAGAGTATGTGTTTGTGCATCTGTTTAAAATTGCTGTTGGTTCTTGCACTGAAAAGTATTCCTTTCTCCTCCCCCCTGCCCCTCTCCATCTTCTAGTTTCATTTCCATTTTGTATTGGTTGATGGTGAAAAAGCATTCTCTTCTCCAGAAATAGGATACTTCATATAATTTGACAGGACACACTATTTTGTCTGTTATCCTAAGCATGTTCTTCTTTGGAGTTAATTGTATCCAATCTCAGAGTGATTAATCCTCTTGAAGCATTTATAATTACAGTTAAATATTGAATGTGTGATTTTTATGTAGGTTTCCTTCTGGATAAGAAGATTGGAGTGCACCAGCCTAAATGTGTGGAGAATGCTCGCATTCTAATAGCAAATACTCCTATGGATACTGACAAAATCAAGGTTTTTGGATCTCGTGTAAGGGTCGACTCAATGGCTAAAATAGCTGAACTGGAGCTGGCTGAGAAGGAGAAGATGCGAGACAAAGTCAACAAAATCCTTAAACATAATGTGAATGTATTTATTAATAGGTAAGTGACTGATGCCACTGTTCTTCTTCTGTGGCTCTCCGTTCCGTATTTGGCCCATGGCCTTCTCAATTCTCCTCTTCCATTCGGTCCTCTGTTAGGTCCGTCTGTCCGAGGCTTTGATCGAGGTTTCGAAACATCTTCCTTTTTACAGTGCAAGGTTGTTAGCCTTGCGACCAACCCCCAACCTGGAGGACTAGGGTACCTGTCTTAGTCTGACCTCTCCCCCTCGACCAGTCTGGCTACGGAGGCCCTACCAGTAGCTATGCTACCGCCAGCATCCACATGACCTAAATATTACGGTTATGTGAAAATATTTTAGCCCATGAAAGGTTTTCAATTGTTTTGTTAAAATAAACTTCATTGCATGGATTAGATACAATCAAAGTACAAGTGTCGCACTTTGATACATAACTTATGGTGTTGGCAATGTCTCAAACCTTGATACACCATTTTGTAGACTGTTCCAGTGTGGAACTTTTATTTAACCTAGTCGTAGCTTCATCAGCTATCGGGTTATGTATGACTGGAAAGATAATGCAAGAATTTTGCCATTAGATCCAGATCTAACTTAGTCCTATGTAAAGGTTGATGGTGGTCATCTGACTTAGGCTTATTCTCATTATGATTTAAATGAGATATTGTCCAATCTTTGTCCTGCTATGTGGTGGATGACGTACATATTTCCTGAAAAGTACCAGTAATACCTTGTTTCAGGAAAATCTTCACATCCTGTTTAGATCATAATTTCTATCTCTGCTTATGTTTCTTCTGCAAGAATATCTTCCCAACTAAAATAGGGAATGTCATCTTTTCTTTAACAGAAAACTGCATAGTTGTTTCTTATACCAGCAGCTCAAGGAAGGCTTTATCTGTTTGATTCCATAACTGAGCTATTGTAATGTAAAATGCATGAATGAGAATTCATGCTACTGGTGTGAAAATTCTGCAGTTAGAAACAAGAAAATAGTTAAGTTTAAAGATCTATAAGACTGAAAAATATGTAGGCCATTGGCAAGCAATGTTTATGTCTACTTGGAATCATATATTTCTTTCTTATAATTTGTGTGTTTATGAATTTTCAGACAGTTGATCTACAACTACCCAGAGCAGTTATTTGCCGATGCTGGTGTTATGGCCATTGAACATGCTGACTTTGATGGTATTGAACGCTTGGCTCTTGTTACTGGAGGAGAAATTGTCTCTACATTTGATAACCCTGAGCTTGTGAAGCTTGGGCTTTGTGATGTGATTGAACAGGTTTGTTTACTTGTCCATACGAGGGGCAGTATGATAGTTAACGATGATACTTTGAAAGTTGTGAAGTGCATGACATCCAGTTGTGTTGTAGCTTGATACAAGATTCTGTCTGCAGATTATGATTGGTGAGGACACACTCCTTCGTTTTGGTGGTGTGGCATTGGGTGAAGCTTGCACAATTGTGATTAGAGGTGCCACCCAGCAGATCATTGATGAAGCTGAGCGTTCTCTTCATGATGCTCTGTGCGTGCTGGCCGCAACTGTTAGGGAGACTCGTATTGTTTACGGAGGAGGTAAAGTTCTCATATGTTTATATATTGTGGTACAATAATATTCTATTCACCCACCTCTGTTTCTTCCCCCTCCAACTATTTTACACTTGGAATATGGTGATAATTCAGTTGTTTCTTTGTATGATTACAGTGAAACCTCGATGCATCGTTTTCGGCGGGGGTGGGAAATAAAAACGATGAATGCGGGAAAACGATAGATGCGGGAAAGCATTAAAAATTTAAAAAAAAACAATGTTTCCCTTTCAAAGTTACTTCTTTTTACCAAAAAAGTCTTTAATGGACAACTGGTTTGTCGAAACTTTACGTTTTAGACCAAACAGAGCACTTTCCACGTTCAAAATGTTTTCCTCGTCACGTTCACTAATATTAAGCGCATAAAAGAACGACTTCACTTT